TGAATGCGATGGCATATACAATGACTTGCGGGGGCCAGCCGATGTTCAAGTCAGTGTTTTTATCCTCCCAGACAAGTCTGGTACCAATTAACCGACCCCGGAGGGATGGAAGGCTTGGTTGGCCCGGGCGACTCACGACCCAGGATTTGATCCCGGACCGCTCGCGTGGTAAGCGCGCCACTTGCCACTACACCACTCCGCGAAGGTTCATAAAACCAGCAATTCATCTTCAACGCCAATCCTCTAACAAAGAGCGTGTGCTATACTTAATCCACATTCTTTTGTTAGGTAATATTATGCCCATTCACTTACCAAGAACGCATGACGTACTATGTAATCCATCTTCCTTTTGAAACGGTCATATATTATAGATCCTCATGAGTGTACCCACAGTGTTCTCACCATCCACTTTATCTGTCTCAATAGTTAATGGATCTATTTCAGTTTTTGAGCACAACACACACCTTTTATCAAATAAAGTGTATAATGATCCTTATCTATCAGGGCGTATCTGCGTATGAAACCGAGAAAAAAAAATTTATAAAAAAAATTGCCTCAAGCTTATACAAAATTGGATTTTTTCCGAAAAAGTGCAGTTTTTAGTGGCTGTAGAATCGTACATCTCATGATCTGTTCCCGTTGCGAGCCAGGCGTTCAACTTTCGGTTAAATATCCAAAGGGTGAACTTCACGTCTGTTTTATTGAAAACTTTACGGCACCTTCTTCAGAAGATATCAGTTTACCCCCTTGTGTCAACTATTTATGCGTTTACATATTTTTATACTGCCTTGATGCAATGGCCGTTGTCACGAAAAAGGTGGTGGGAAGTGAGAAATTGTGTCATGTCCGCGATGCAAAAGGCAACGCGCTTTGTCTCGGTCAGAACAGAGAACAGGGGCGACATGATATTTTAAATATTAGGTTGGAACGATTGAAATGTCGCTTCCGTTTGTGCTTTGTTTCTCAGCTTAAACACAATCTCTTAGGATGGGAGACCATTCATTCGAAAGAGCGATTCAGCACGCATATTGCGAAATCTTAGGCGCCACTGAGCGGATGTTCTTCGAGCCAAAACTTTTGCTCGAAGATGACTGATCAGAAATCATCGTCTGAGCGTATATATTCAAGCAAGAAAAACGGCCAACGAATCCCACTCATTGTGTGCAAAACATTGAGCAGTAACACTTAGTCTCTGATGCACTTTCAGCTATGGTTTCAGCTCTTCCAAGACTGAGGTAAAGGACCTGAGGACGAAGGTCGTGGATTTTGACCTCTAGCTCTAGATGACGGAGAAAATAAAGAAAGCCAACGAATTGAGTCCTCGACAAACCGCACAAAACTTGCATGGAGATTCAGTTGTGTCAACAGAAAAATTTAAAAGTTCCTACGTGCGACTGTTAAGGCCTTTCAGGATAGAAAATGGGTTCGGCCTATTCTGAGCGACGCGAGCAAGCAGTACTGGTTGCCAATGGAATTTCGCTCCATAACTTCAAGAGAAAAAAGACTTCGTGTTCCCCGAATTTCGTTTCCCACTAAAACGCGAGAAGACGACCGTAGTTGGCGGCTAATGGACAGCTGAGGGTGACTCCGAAACCAGACATCCATGGAAACAAATTCATGTATAGCAACGGTGTACCACGGAATGCTGATTGTGGGTTATACAGTTACAGCTGAACTCTGCGTATAACAGCTCCACCACGTGGGCCGAGCTCCGCGTCGTCAAAGGGTAAATTCGGCCAATGAAAAATTATGGCACGATAATGCAAGACCACATGTCGCGAAAATCTTGCAACAAGAAATCGAGGAGTTGGGCTGGGACGCTCTGCCTCATCTGTGAAGGATGGATCGGGAAGCGTTTCGCCACGCAGCTAGACTCGATCCGCCGAGCAGA